TTTTTTAAACCAAGCTCCATCTATTGGTGGGGAGCAGCACCTGCTGGAAACCGGGTCCAGCGTCCCATAGATACAACCATATCCTCACAATTTGGCACAAACTTCCTGGGATGGTAGCGAAACAGAGCCCCGGCACTCCCTGACAGTCGCGGCTGCATGCACACCGCGGTTCTGAAAAAACTGGATGGGAAAAGTACTGGTTTAAAGATAAAGTTGTGTCGTTGTTAGAGAGAAGAGCACAAAGTCATACCTTCGCATTCGTCTCGACGAACATAGAGGACTTGCGAGCACCCAAATTTTCTCGCTTCAATCTGAGGCACGATCGCAGGGGCGTAATTTCCTCCCACCTGCATGTTTGCCCGCCAAGAGAGAGAAGTCAGAAAGCATACAGATCAAAAGTCATCCAACTTAGTGTGGCCTGCATAAAATCCTTACTACCGTCTTCACCCGAATAGAATGCCTGGTCATTATAGCGGTATTTGGCACAACTTTCAGCCCAGATACGGCGATAACTACCGGGTGTTCTATTCGGGTGAAGACAGTAGTACAAACTTGCCGGGGTAGAGTTGTTACATTCCCTCTTCTGGCTTCCTCTGTCCTTCCTCTTTTTGTTGTTCAGAGTCGTCGACCTACCCTCCTCTTCCTTGCCCTCCATCCCTGCCTCCTCGTCTTCCTCCTCCTTCTCCACCTACTCTTCTTCCTCCTCCTATTTCTCCTCACCCATTGAGCATCACATCGGGCACGGGACGAGGGGCAGGAGGGGCAGGAGGGCCAGGAGCAGGGAGAAGGGAGGAGGTAGTACGAGGGGGGGGCAGGGAGAGGGGGAGGAAGGAGGAGCAGGAAGACAAGCAGAAGCAGAAGGAGGAGGAGGAGGAGGAGGAGGAGGAGGAGAGTGCCGAGGGTGGAGAGGAGGAGCGAGAGAAATAGTAGTAGGAAGAGGAGGAGGAGGAGGAGGAGCAGAAGGAAGGTGGTTGAAGGAGAGATGGTTGATCGTTGATCCATCGGAAAACATCCCATGGATGTGCTGAGGTAGCTCCTTATCCAGTCATAGAGCAGGCAAGTACTCCCTTTTTTTTTTTTTTTTTTTTTTTTAAATTTAAATCGCCCTCACCAGTGTCAGTGATGCTGATAAGAGCAGACACCACTAGCACCTGGGGAGAGGTTCCATCTATTGGTGGGGAGCATCACCTGCTGGAAAGCGGGTCCAGCGTCCCTTAAACAAAATGAGCACATCAGAAAACAATTGTGGGGGGATCCTGCCAGCATTGATTACCCTGGGAGCCAGGGGATTGACTAATCCTTGTCACTATGCAGCACGACTCCTGACCTAAACTCCCCGTTTTTGCTTTTGTCTTTTCTCAGCGGAAAACAAGAAACTGTACGAGATCTCAAAATCTTGAGATTGTGCTCTGCAAATAATAGCAATTATTACGAATAATAATAGAACATAATAAAATATTTGAATAAGATAAATATTAAATAAAAGATTAAATGGCATGGTTGCCCTGGACCCGGACATCCAGACACCGGCCACCGGGCCCCGACCCGTGTCAAGATTAACCCAGACGCCGATCCGGGCAACCGGACATACGGACCCAGACGGTCCGGTTATGAATAAACAAAGCAAGCAAGCAAGCAAGCAAGCAAGCAAGCAAGCAAGCAAGCAAGCAAACAAACAAACAAACCAACCCAACCAACCAACCAACCCAACCAACCAACCAACCCAACCACCCAACCAACCCAACCAACCCAACCAACCCAACCACCCAACC